GAAAGGCGGTACCTTCGTTAGGAGGTGGACTGCATATTGGGCTTGCTTGCTGTCACGCCCCTTTTGGTGTACCTTTCGCAAGGTAATTGTTAGTTTGTTTCTGATTGTGTTGTTTGTTATGTTTGTTGTTGATTTGTACCGAATTAGTAGCTGGATGTGTATGTTTTCCATTTAGCTTCTTTTCTCTGTTCATATGCACGCTCCTTACTCGGAACTTATGTACGTACCCCTACTTCTTAATCGTGATAACTTTTTCTATTACGATCTAAATAATAGTATATCGGATCATGTTGTCAGCTTTTCAGTATTATCATTCAGCTCGTTCAGTTTCTTTTTTTTTTCTTCGAATTACGAAGCCTCTCTCGGAGGGTTAGTAATCGAAATCGAGCAGTACAAGTTCGGCATCTAGTCCAGTCCGTCCAAGGCTAAAGATTTGTCCATAACTCGCCAAACTTGTGAGAAATCGAGTGATTTACCTCCCAAAAACCTTCACTCAGAATCATACATGCCTTTGCAAGCATGTCTTCATTTTTTCATTAATCTATGAATATTTGTAAGGCTTCATAACGTATTCTATAGTACAGCAATATAATGTTGCCCGTACTTTCTTTATGTGGCACAGGGCTCATCTTATTCTAATCAGACCTGCCTTCCTTAGGAAAACCCAAATCTATCTCTTCAGCTGTCTTGAAGGCTTGTCTCGTATCACTTCGTTCCCTTTTGTACGGTTTCTGTTTTTTTTATTCGTTTTTTCGTCGAAGTTCCCTAGTATGAATTATTATAATAGCTTCTCTATACCTTCCTCTCCCTCACTCTCCTTCAATGACATTCTCTAGCCGCTCATAAATCTATGTCGCGCTTTGTGTTGTAAACTAATCAATATACTATAGATTTCCAGATGGCCGACGAAAAGCCGGCAACCAGCCGTTCAGGTGAAGTCGTGGAGGTTCATGGTCAATTATTTGAAGTAGGACCTCGATATGTGAACGTCGCCTTTATCGGTGAAGGCGCCTATGGAGTAGTAGTGTGAGTTTATCATACTTTACATTCAATATTTTTCCATAAATTTATTATTCGATTTGAATTTTATGGGCACTTTGCTTGTTTTTGTTGTTGTTACTTTTTGTTGTTATGTTACAATTATTGTAAGCACTGCGAAAATGATGGAAAACGGTGGCCTATCGATGTAGTTTAATGTTTTTTTCAAAATTTTTGGGATCATTGAACCTCTCAAATATTGAACCGGAAACTTTTAAATAGAAGTTTAACTCTATCACAAGTAGTGGAAGAGGGACATGCGTCAGGATCTGAAAGAGCGGTCGCGAGCGGTTGCGTTGCGGCAGTGACATGCTTAGCTACCAGTTTTCAACTGGTGCTACTCGCCATTCGAGGTCCTTCGGACTAGACGTGCATGACTGACCTGGACGCCCCGCTTGTTGTGTAAGAACAAGTCCTTCTCTCACTTCTATGTATCCCTAGGTTGGTAGTGAAGGAATAAGATGGCTCAAAACAATGACTGTCGCCGAAAAAAGGGAACTGTCAATAGGCATCTTTCGAACATGTGCCCATTATTCCATACGTGTATCTACTTTCTTGTAAATCGTCGATTTCAGTTCCGCTTTGGATACAGTAACCGGTGAACATGTGGCCATCAAAAAGATCTCTCCATTCGAACATCAGACGTTCTGTCAGCGAACTTTACGAGAAATCAGGATATTAACGAAATTTAATCACGAAAACGTGCGTTCAGTTGTGTTGAGCTTTTCCAATCATAACTTTATGGCCGAATATCTCGAACAATCTCCTATTGCAGATTATCGACATACAGGAAATTATTCGATCGGCTTCAGTAGAGGACTTAAAAGACATGTGAGTGATTGTTGTTTTTTTTTTGGTGTATAGGTGCTTACAAAAGAGGTTTTTTGTTTTTGACATGTGCGATTCTCTGGGCACTCTTTTCCTACTCATTCAAGATGACAGAACTTTGTGATTAGATACTTCCTGGTAAAACCCATGGATTGTATTTGAGTAATTTGAGTAAAAGCTAGCAAACAAATCCTAAGCGAACAAGTCCTCACAAGCGAACAGTCTGCTTTGAACTATATGTAGGTCATCGTCAAAGGTAGAAGTTCTCTGTTTGTTTGCACATCATGGGGAGGT